ATCTATATTTCTCCTTCCCACAGATAGCCATGTGCCCACCCCACACACCCCTCCTCTGGGTCTGTGGATTGTATCATGGTTATGGTTATCTGTTACTCAACAGCTAATAGTCAGTTATATGTGACCACATATCATGTTTGTCTCTTTGGGGACTGGGTTGCCTTGCTTGGGATTTTTTGTTTGTTTGTTTGTTTGTTTGTTTGTTTCTAGTTTCATCTATTTGCCTAAAAATTTCATGATGTCATTTTTTCCTAATAACTGAGTAATACTCCATTGTGTAAATTTACCCCATTTTTTAATTTATTCTTTTTTGAGGGTCAGTGTGGTGCGAAAAGCTTACAGACTATAAATAAATAGTTATTCCCTATGAATAAAGGAGTAATTTTATTTTATAGATGAGAAAATTAAGAACCAGGGAGATTTAAAAACCAGCAATGACTAACTTTACAGCCTTGGTACCTAATTGCCCTTAAAAAATAGAGAAATAATAAAAAGGAAAATGGAGAGGTTTCCTGGGCCACCTAAAGTCTCAGCAGGTTAAAGCATTTGCCAAATAATCCTAATGGCTTTAGTTTGATCCCTGAGATCCACACTGTAGAATGAGAGAAAAGATTCCCACAAGTTAGCCTCTCATTTCCACATGTATACTATGGTATAGATACATATATACACACACTAAATAAATTAATGTAATTGTAAAAATGAATGTCTTCCTGGCTCGGGAGAATGGCTCTGTATATGAAGTACTTGGCTTTTAAGTAGAAGGATCTGATTTGATTTTCGCATCTATTATAGAAACACCGGGCATGTTGATATATTGAAAAGAGAATTCTAGTCTGACCTTATAGGAACCCAGAAATGTAGGAGGATTGCAGAGAGAAGGAATAAGAAAGATCTTAATTCTGGCTTTGTGTACTGTGGTTAATTCCAACCAGATGAAAGGCTTCTAGGAGGTGTTTAATAAATTAACAAGCTCTCTCTAATACCTGACACTCAGTGAATGATAATACATTTTTTCCCGTTGTTATTACTGCAGTATTGTATGGACTACTGAGATTCATCATTTCCAGATGAGAAGTGGGCACCCTTTCCTGACCAAACCAGCCTCCTCACCAGCCTCTGTATTGTCTATCAAAGTTCAGACATATCTCGCACACCACTCCCCTGCATTTCTTAGGTTGGAATTAGTCTCTTTTGGAGATCAGTCAGCAGCGTCCCCATGCTCACATCACTGCACTGGTCAAATTTTCTAGGTAACTTTTACAGGGTTACTGAATGTTCAATATTCTCAAGAGTCACCTATAGAGCTTTGTGAAAACTCCCATTTAGTTCTCAATGGATAACATAATGTCAGAGCTTTAGTAAGTGGAGTTTTAAACTGCCAGTATCCTCTATCCCCCACTTGAGAAGGAACTTGTAAGCTTTGGTCATTTCTACTCCCTTATGCATGTACAGCATATTGTAATCTTGGGTGCAACTGCATTATTGCTAATTTAAGCCTCAGCCATGCTGCTTAGAATTGTTAACAGTCACCACAGGCCTACTATCCTGTCCCTTACAATGAGGCTAATTTCATCTTTATTATATTTTTAATTATGTGGACCCTTTGGCATATGAGCTGCTGTGGGGATAACTCCAACGGGTGCTCTGTTTCTGTTGGATGTTTTGGGACGAGTGGTTTGCATAGGCTCCACTTCCTTCCTTTATCCAGGATGCTCTTTTTGCCATGGACTCCATGACTTAATGACCTTTGTTATATTGGAGCTTGTTGCTGGGTAGGAGGAAAACCAACCTTTAGGAATGTCCTAAGACACTGCCCAGAAAAGTCATATGGGTGACTCTTATACATAATCTCCTCCACCTAGTAGTGCCATTGTATTTGGCACTCTACCCTAGAGGACTTGTATTTTCCAGTTATTGACATCTCTGCTTGAAGTGGAACGGGGTGTTGAAGGTAGGGTTCAATCCCAGACACAAGCAAAACTAAGGTCTTGTACATTCATCAAGTTCATCTTGAGCATTGACAATCTGGATGAAAAGTACATTTTCCAAGCCTCAAGGAGTTTCAGTCAAATGCAAGAGACAGGCATGGAAAATTAAAAGTAGTGCGTTACTGTGTTCTGCACGAGTGAATGAGATAGCTCCCTTCAGGAGTTCCAGTCCATCCTGAGGCAGAGAGGAGGTGCCTCCTTATGTGACAGTGGCTTTCAAGGGAGGAAAAGTACAAAGAAAGGGAGCATGAGGTGAGCAGTATAAGTCATGCAGATCCTGGGATGAGCTGATGATAATTCATGTATTCCTTCCCATTCTTTATGTTCTTTACCCAAAATGTTCCTTTATTTTCTATCCTTTTTGTAAATTCAAACTCATTCACATGCCTTTTTTACAATTAATTGAAGATTTGAACTTAGTTGATTATGAATTAAGTTGGGGACTTGGGGTGGCATTCAGGACTGAGCTCCTGTGGAGATTAATTTATCCCTGTAGTTTCATAGTTTTGCAGTGCATCCAAGTGTCTCACATCTGTGTTAAAAATAAAACTCAGAGTCAGGGCAATCTAATTAGATGGCTTAACCCAACACTGTGGCTCTCAGTCTTCACCAAGCTCTGCTGCTTTGATGGTTACCAAAATAGATGAATAAGTTAATCAAAGGTCTGATTAAATAGCACAGCTATACGGCATGAAGTTGTGATTTTCAGGCTTCAGTCCAGGCAGAATCTCTGGGGAAGAAAGAAATGGAGCTGAGTTCTAAAGGCTAGGGCTTATGTGAGGAAGAGTTTTATAAAGCACTTTGTGGGTAATTGCTTGCTGAGGTCTTAAATCTTAAGGTGATGGCTACCTGGGAAGCTAACTCGCAGAGAAGGGTGGGGTAGGTTATGATGACCCAGACTCACATCCAAACTCAGAAAAAGAACTAGAACCTTTCTCAGGCAGATTCTTGGTTTGGCTGTGTGGTGGTGTGCATGTATGTGCATGCATTTGGAAGCCAGAAGTTGATGTGAGGTGTCTTCCGCATTTGTTCTCCACCTTACTTTCTGAAGAATGCGCTATCTGAACTGGGAACTCACCAGTTCACTTAGACTGGCTGGTCAGTGAGGTCTACCGATCCATTTATGTCTGTGCTTCTTTCTTTTCAGCACTGAAATTACAGAAGTATGCCTTCTCTCTGGGTTATTAGGATCCAAATTCAGGTCCTCCATACTGCCCAGCAAGTACTTTACTCAGTGAGCTATCTTCCCAGTCCCTCCTTCAGCAGGTTCTAACTATAGGTTTACGTCATGCCTGCAATAGAGTGTGTTGGGGGTTGGATGGTTACTCTACTCCTTTATTGCCCTACATTCATCCTAACCTAACTTTGCATTTTGCCCCTATAATCTTTAAATTATTATGCTTTACTCTGACCAGGTTTTAATTTCTTTTCTTGTCAACACTATGGCTATGCCTTGGTACTCCCCCCTCTTGCTTTCCACACACTTGGCCCTTTTTACTTACCTGGTTTCTGTAGTTGCTGCAGGTTATATAGTCACCTCTGAAGTCTTGCAACTAAGAACCTCAGATGTCAAAAACCTTGCGATATCTGTGTTTCTTAGTTTGGGTTACTTGCTTAGTATATATTTTCCTAGTTCCATACATTTTACTTCAAATTTTGTAATTTTATTTTCTTTATATGTTCCACATTTTTGTTAACCATTTGTCAGCTGAAGGGCATTTAGGTTGTTTCAGTTCTTCAGCTACTGTGAATAGAGCAGCAGTAAGATTGGGCTCTCACTTTGTAGCTCAGACTAGCCTTGATCTGTCACCAATCCTCAGGCCTTTGCCTCATAGGTTCTATGAATATAGGTGAGAGTCACCCACACCCAACTCCTACTTACTTCCTTAAAGGCAGTTACTAGGATAAAAGAGGTGGGTGTTGTTTGGAATTCTGAGGTGGATCATTAGAAGGTGTATGTTAATCTGTTAAATTAAAATGTGGGCCTTGGGTTCCATGGAATTCCTCCACATGCATGCCCCATGCCATTCTTCCCACAATGGTCTTCACATAGATAAGGATTCCCCCCCCCCCCACTGAATGGACCTTAGCGTTTTGATATAGCAAGTATTATGAAAGTGTGTTCGTATAGCTGACACCACTTACTTTGGGGACAGTGGTTGTTCCTGTCATATGAGCCCTGCATTCTTGAGGTTTTTCTTCTAACTCTACCCTCCCTTGCTATCAGATGACCAGCATTATACAGATTCTGACTGGGTCCTTATTTCTATGACGATGAAGAGGAGGTCCAGGTACCAATTGAACCCATTATAACTTTAAAGTAGACATAAGTATAGGCATTAAAAATGCAACAAGGTATAGCAATCTCTAATGGCACATAAGTTTAATGAATTAAGAAGATAGTGGTGGTGCACACCTTTAATCCCAGCACTCGGGAGGCAGAGGCAGGAGGATCTCTGTGAGTTCGAGACCAGCCTGGTCTACAGAGCGAGCGAGTTCCAGGACAGGCTCCAAAGCCACAGAGAAACCCTGCCTGGGGGAAAAAAAAAAAAAAAAGATAATTCTACCTATGAACAATGAGGTGCTAGTTTCTTGGGGGGTTGATTTTCTGTTGTTTTTGTTTTGTTTCTGCATATTTATTTTTCTTCAATGGACCCATGTAATTTCTCTAATAATAAAAAAGTATATTTTCAAAATCTCAGCATAGAATTTAAATTTAAAAAGTACTTTACAGCTATTATTTTATCCCGTCTTGAGTCAAATACATTACCAAATAAACGATGTGGCAAAATGAAATAGACAAATCTTTAAAGAAAAGTCATTTATTTCTTTAAATAGTTTGTAAATTTGCATTTTATTTCTGTCTCTGCATGGTTTATAATGTTTAAGCAAAGAATCCATGTGGTGATTTTTTTTCCTTTTTCTTATTTTACCAATTCTTTCTCTCCCTCTCTTTTCTTCTCTCTTTCCCCCCCCCCTCTCTTTTTCCCTCTATTTTGTCCTGTCCAGTCTGAAGTGTCCTGGATCCCCAACAAACATTACTCTGGGATTTATGGCCTGATGAAGCTGGTTCTGACCAAGACTCTACCTGCCAACCTGGAGAGAGTCATTGTCCTAGACACTGACATTACCTTTGCAACTGACATTGCAGAGCTATGGGCCGTGTTCCATAAGTTCAAAGGTAGGAGTTAATAACAAGACAACCATGCTGATGTTTTTAAAGGTATTTTATTTATTATTATTAGTGTGTGTGTGTGTGTGTGTGTGTGTGTGTGTGTGTGTGTGTACACGTCCACAGTTGCATATGCCATAGAGTTCATCTGGAGGTCAGTACAAATTTTGAGAGTCAGTTCTCTCCTTCCTCTCGTAATGGCAGGGTTTGAATTCAGGTGGCCAGACTTGCAAATCTAGCAATTTAACTCGTGGAGCTATCTTCTGAGGCAGTGTTTGTTTGTTTGCTTGTTTGTTTTTAATGTGGTCCTGGAGATTGAATTTCGGGCCTTATGTGTAGCAGGGAAGCATGCTACCACTGAGCAATAGACTGGATATGAGCTTAACAATAGCATCAATAAGAAATCACACACATAAAAGTCAACGCTACTCTAATTTCAAACTAGTTAAAGTAACACTGAATTTAGCATTTATTCGGGGATTAAAGAGATTGGATGCATTTTCATTGACAATCCCAGTTTAGGAGATTTCGTAGTCAGCAAATAATTAGCTAGGGATATTTTTATGCATGTGATCAAATGTTGATATACCTTTTTGTATGTGTGTTTTAAATTTTTTTCCTTTTATTGAAAAAATATTGTTAATTTTTAATTTTTTCTTATATAATATATTCAGATTACACTTTCCTCTATGTCTACTCCTACCAATTCCTTCCCATGTTTCACCCAGATTTACCCCCCTTTTCCATCTCTATTGGAAAGCAAATAGGCTTCAAAGAGATAACAATATAATAAAATCTAATACAGTAAGATCAAACAAAAACTAACACATTTGAGTAGGACAATACAAACCTGCAGAAGGAAAAGGCTCAAAAAATGCAGAGACCCAATTGATCATACACTTAGGAATTCTATAAAAACAAAAGGCTAGAAGGCATGATAAATAAAATTAAAAATAAAAATATAAAAACAAGCAAAAAACAGTTTTGTTACAGCCTTATGAGAAAAGAAACATCCTTTGAGTTTGTTTTCTGTTGGCCATCTAGTACTTGGCATATGGCCTACCTTTAAATGTAGTTTGCTTCCCCAGTGAGACTCCATTAGATAAAACAAAACTTTGATTTTCAAGTGGTTATCAACTGGGGATGGAGACTGGATTAGGCCTGGGATGGGCCAGATGTCCACTTCACCTTTCAGCTTGACTCCATTGCAGACACTGCGGTCAGTGTGCTTGCTGCTTCAGTCTCTGAGTTCATATGCAAGCTCATCCCGTTGATGTAGAGAACCTTCTTTTTTCCTTGCTTTCCTCTTCCCCTCTTCTTTGGCTCTCTATTTTTTCCCCATTGCTGCAGGAGGAAGTTTCTTTGATGATAGCTGAGCTCGGTGAGTATAGCAAAATGTCTTCAGGACTCATTTTGTTATTTTGTTCTTTTAGTATAACAATAATATTTGATTTTACCCTCAGTCGCTGTGCTGATCTAATGTTAGGTTCTTGGTCACCAAAACAGCATCCGATATGGATTCCATCTCGTGGAGTGAACCCAAGTCAAATAAGATACAGATTAGATTTATTCCCACAAGATTTGTTCTTTCAAGTCACTAACATTTGAAGGCAGGACACTAGGATCAAAGGGTTTGAAAGTGGATAGGTATTTACATTTCTCATTGGGTAGTGTGCCTTCCTGCACCAAAGACACTAGCCCATTGGGGTGAAGGTTCTGTGTGGCACTTGCTCTGTTTCTCCAAGTCCGTGTTCAGTAGGTTCTAGCTGTCAGTTTGAGAAGAATACCTATAGTCTTGACCACAGTCTGGGTTGTCTGGGGGTTCCCATGGGGCCCCTTTTGCTAACAGCACAGTTAGATTTAACCCATTTCTGGTGCTGGATGCTTCATTTGGTGAGAAAATATGGCCAGTTGTAGCTCTATCTTCCCCATTCTTTGGCTTCAGGTATTTCAGAAAGCTTCTTTTGTTTTGGATTTCCATTCTAACCTTGAAATGACCTTTGGATTTTTTTTAACTGTGTCTTTCTGTATTCTCTCCCTCTTCCCCTTTTCCCTTCCCACTTGATCCTCCCATTCCGATTCTTGAAATATATATACTTTTCCTCATTTCTCTCTCTAAATAAATAAATAAATAAATAAATAAATGATGCCTTTTTGCTGAGAAAACCTGGGAGGCTATAGTAAAGGCTATTAATTTTGTGGTGTTTGAAATATAGAACAGCCCTTGCTGTCTCTAGTACTGTGGACTATTATTTTTAAGAGTGTATGTAAGGCTGGATTTGTAGCATTGCTCTTCTGGCCTGGTTATTTTTTTATTGCTTTCATAAATGTGTGAGGTACATACACATGAGTGTTCAGATAGACACGCCTGTACTTGCACATGGGGAGTTCACAGTAGGACATCAGGTTTTCTATCATTTTCCACTTTATTACCATGAGGAAGGATCCTTTTTGAATATGAAACGTGCTTTTCTGTTAGGATATCTGACCAGTGAGTTTTCAGCATCTGTCTCTACCCCTGAATATTGGAGTTGCCAGGATATGTATTTATGCCTAGTTTTTAAGTGGGTGCTGAGGATTCAAACTTAAGTCCTCTTCTATAGAGAACATGTGCTCTTACCCACTTTGCCATTTCCCCAGACCTTCTTCTTAAATGTTTGAGCTGTCATCATTACTTCAGAGAATATCAGATGGTCTAAAGTCGAGTCATGAGCCTGATATGTGTATCTGAGTTTGCATACATGAGAGAAATATCACATTAGCACAGATGTTGGACTATTCTAATAGCATCTGCCCAAGGGTCTTCCTTACAGTTACCTAGTTTTTAACGTTCTTCTACACCATGGCCAAATTCAGTGGGAGAGAAGCTTGGTAGTGAGGCTGATATACTTTACTTCTTTGTTCTATTTCTTTTTTGATTTACACTTTGTTTAACATCTCTCTGTCTCTTCTCTTGGCTGTTTGGAGGGTGAAATAACTTTCAATCACAGTATTCTCATTAATTATGGAGTATTCCTATTGGTTTCTCTTTCTTCCCGTCATAGAGAGTAAATTCCTTCTCTACTCTGTTTATTTCCTGCTCCTTCTGGGGGCTTCATAGTTCTCTGTTATTTGAACTAAGTACTTGGCAAAGCATTCAGATGACATAGTGACCCCTGGGATTCTCCAAGATATATTTATCAAGATGAAAATATATTAATATGGGCCAATAGGACAGCTCATAGGAAGAGATCATTTGACAGAACGAGGAAAGCAGAAAACAAGTGTGTCTTTTCCTACTTCCCGAATAACCTTGTATGGGTACAGGGTTTTACTCAAGAGCAAAATCAGAAAAGGAATGCACCTTGGCTCCTGCCTGCTATTCTTTTCAAATTCCAGTCATTTTTGTTTGTTCCTCCTTTCAAAGCCACATTGAGCTCATCTGGGGACAGTTTCTCTTTAATTGTGTGTGAATTGATCTGTGCTTTTATGCTGATGTTCTGTGTTTAATGGTGCATTTATTCTGCAGGCATTATTGCATCCCTACTGGGTGCCAAGCAGTGTGCCCAGCTCTAGAAATAAGATAGTGAGTAATAAAGGGACAATGAGAGTTGTCTTCTATCCTGGTGGAAAGAAGAGAAGTCGGCTAGAGAGCCTTGCAGAGATGATAGCCGTGATGCGCAATTGGATAGGGGGATGCTTGTGGGCTGCACTAGCCCACCACTCCTCTTTTGGAAAACTTAGGGCTTCTACATGTTTGACTCTGTCGATATAGAGAGCCAGGCATCAGCTATCTCTGAGGACAGCTTGAGATGAAGAGACTCATGTTGCCTATGACCAAATGCCATTACTGGGTTGTACTTGTCCTAAATTAACCGACTAAAAGTGGGATCCATTGGAGTACTCCTTGGAGACTGCCTCAGGCCTGGTCTTCACAGTCTCCCTTTTGCCCCTCTCTTTCACTTGCCTCACTGAAAACCCCTGCTGTGCTAACCTCCTTACCGTCCTCTCGACAATGTAATCCACCCACATCAGGAGCTCTGAGTTTCCTTTAGAGAAGTGAAACTCAGCAGATACAGTGGAGCAGGAGTCCTCCAATGGCCAAGCTATAGCTGAGAGCTCACAATTACTGTGTTCCAGGTACTGTGTTGCTTACTCAAAGCACTGAAGCCAAGAATGCTAAAAGGGAAGAAAGGTAGTGGGACTCTGTACCTTACAGTAATAGTTGGAGATCTTAGAACTGGAGAGTACTGGGCCTGAACACAGAGTACTTAGTCAAGCTCAGGACAGGGACAGGGACTGAGGAATACCCTTGAATCTAGCTGAGTTAGTGGGCTATGTTTATTTATTCTTTTATTAGTTTGTTTCCAGTATTACTTGGCCCTCTGTTGTACAAAGGAGTATAGTAGATCCCACAGTTCCCTAAAAGAGTGCTTCTATAAACTCTTTAGTTATAGTGACTCCCAATATAAAATTATTTTCTTTGCTACTTCACAACTGTAGTTTTACTACTGTTATGACTCACAAGCATCAGATATGCAGGATATCTGATATGTGACCCCTGTGAAAGGGTTGTATAACTTAGAGGGGCCTTGACCCACAGGTTGAGAACCACTATCCTAAGCAACCCAAAACAAGGCACCTGCCTTCAGAGAGTTCACAGATAGGCCAGACTGTACTACATCTATGCCTGTCAATTGCTAGGAGTATAAAATGTGAGATTTTCCCCACAACCCATCCCATTTTCTTCTGAGGAAATATAGAGGTTAAAAATAAAATTGATAAGATCTTCTTCTCTTCGTATGTCAATGTTTTTAATATATCTTTTGTCTTCTAAGCTAGAACTAAGGAAGGTTCTAAGTAAGAAGAAGAAATCTTCATAGGGCACACCTAAGAATATAGAATGTTCTGGTTCAAAGTGGAGAATTTCCATCACATCAAGGCAGTGGTATTGATTTCATTCACTGTTAACATTTTGAGTGGCCTTGTTCATCCTTGTCTTCTGAAGAACAGCTAGCTCTCCAGGTTCT